AAGGAGCACTCTTCTACTCTACTGTGTTTCCTATAGAGTCAGAACAGTGAAATTGCTCAAAAAAAAGAACTGTGCTTCCTACACATATGGGTCATATCTACTTCAACTCTGTTTAGGGAACTGACTAGAAGAGTATCTTCACCTCCATCCAATATATTGTACATACTGGAACAGATGAGAGTTTTATCTGTACTGTGTATGGCAATGGAAGCACAATAGTGACTTAACTTACCAGAACAGATTTGTTTTTCATAGGACAAGAAACTGCATGTGAAACAACTTGGTTTATGAAGGGGAATTGAACACTAGTATGCCTTAAAAGAATCACACTCTGCTTTTGAGAAAGGAGCACTCTACTACTTACTCTATTAAGTTACTGATAAGCCAGAAGACTGAGCTTGCTCAGAACATAGAACTGTGATTACCGCACACATGGGCCATATCTAGTTCATCTCTCCTTAGGAAATTCATGAGAACAGTACCATCTCTTTCGTCTAGTACACTGTAATTGCTGGGAACAGACGGTAGTGCTATTTGTACTGTGTGTGGCAAAGGGAGTGCAATCGTGACATCCCTTACCTGCCAGAAAAGAACTGTTGCTTGTAAGGACAATAAACTGCAAATGATTCAACCATTTTCATGAAGAGGAATTGAACACTAGCTTTCCTTAGAAGAAACACTCTCTGCTTTTATGAAAGGAGCACTCTTCTACTCTATTGTGTTTCCTATAGAGCCAGAACAGTGAGTTTGGTAAGAACAAAAGAACTGGGCTTCTTACAACGAACCATATGTAGTTCATCTCTGTTTAGGAAACTAACTAGAACAGTAGCTTCTCTTCAGTCCAATACACTGTAATTCCCGGGAACAAATGGTAGTGCTATTTTCACTATATATGGCACTTGCAGCACAATTGTGACTTTCCATAACAGAAAATAACTGCTGTTCGTAGGACAAGAAACACCATTTGATTCAACTCCCTTTATGAAGAGGAATTTAACCCTAGCTTGCCTTATAAGAAACATACTCTAATTTTGAGAAAGGAGCACTCTTCTACTCTACTGTGTTTCATATAGAGCCAGAAGTGAGCTTACTCAGAATAAATGAACTTTGCTTCCTACACACATGGGCCATATCTATTTCAACTCTTTGGAAACTTATTAGAACCATTACTTCTCTTCCCTGCAATACACTGTACTTGCTGGGAACAGATGCCATTGCTATTTGCACTTTGAATGGCAATGGAAATGCAAAGGTGACTTTCCTTACCACGAAAGAACTGTTGCTCCTGGATAAGAAACTACATGTGATTCAACCGAGTTTATGAATAGGAAATGAACACTAGCTTGCCTTACAAAAAACACACTCTCCTTTGTGAAAGGGGCTCTCATCTACTCTACTGTGTTTCCTATATATCCAGAACAATGAGTTTGCTGAGAACAAAAGAACTTTGCTTCCTACAAACACAGGCCATATGTGCTTCAACTCTGCTTAGGAAACTGACTGGAATTGTAGCATTTCTTCCATCCAATACACTATACTTGCTGGGAAGAGACGTGAGTGCTACTTGCACTGCACTGGCAATGGGAGCACAATAGTTTCTTTCCTTACCTATCCAAAAAGAACTGTGCTCATAGTACAAGAAACCGCATGTGATTCAACTCCCTTTATGAAGGGGAACTGAACAGTAGCTTGCCTTACAAGAAACACATTCTGCTTCTGAGAAAAGAGTACTCTTCTCCTCTACTGTGTTTCCCATAGAGCCAGGAGTATGAGTTTGCTCAGAACAAAAGAACTGTGCCTTCTAAACTCACGGGGCATATGTAGGTCTACTCTGCTTAGGAAACTGACTACAACAGTAGCTTCCCTTCTGTATAATACACTGTACCTGCTGGGAACAAATGCAAGTGTCATTTCAACTGTGTATGGCAATGGGACCACAATAGTGACTTTCCTTACAAGAAAAGAACTGTTGTTCATAGGACAAGAAACTGCATGTGATTCAACTCACTTCATGAAAGGGAATTGAAGCCTAGCTTGGCTTACAGGAAACACATTCTGCTTTTGAGAAAGGCACACTCTTCTACTCTAGTGTGTTTCCTATAGAGCCAGAACAGGGAGTTGCTCAGAACTAAAGTACTGTGCTTCCTACATACACAAGCCATATCTCCTTCAACTGTGCTTAGGAAACTGACTAGAACAGTAGCTTCTAGCCCATGCAATACACTGTACTTGCTAGGAACAGATGCAAGTGCTATTTACACTGTGTAAGGCAATTGGAATGCAAAGGTGACTTTCCTTACTAGAAAAGAACTCTTGCTCCTGGACAAGAAACTGCATGTTATTCAACTGCGTTTATGAATGGAAATTGAACACTAGCTTGCCTTACAAGAAACACACTCTGCTTTTGAGAATGGAGCACTCTTCTACTCTACTATGTTTCTTCTAGAGCCAGCACAGTGAGCTTGCTCAGAACAAAAGAACTGTGCTTTGTACACACACAGGCTATATATACTTCAACTCTGCTTAGAAAAGATATTATAACAGTAGCTTCTCTTCTGTTTAATACACTGTAATTGCAGGGAACAGACTAGAGGACTCTTTACACTATATATGGCAATGGGAGCACAATAGTGACTTACCTTACCAAAAAAGAACTGTTCCTCGTAGGACAAGAATATGCATGTGATTCAAATCCATTTATGAAGGGGAATTCAACAATAGCTAGCCTTGCACTCTTCTTCTCTACTGTGTTTCCTATAGAGCCGGAACAGTGAGTTTGCTCAGAAAAAAAGAACTGTGCTTCCTACACAAACAGGATATATCTAGTTCAACTCAGTCTTTGCTTTGGAAAAACTGAGCACAATAGCTTCTTTTCCATCCAAAGCACTGTATTTCCTGAGAACAGACACGAGTGCCATTTTAACTGTGTATCTAAATTGAGCCCATATTGACTTTCCTTACCTGAAAAGAGCTGTTGCTTGTAGGATAGAATACTGCATGTGATTCAACTTCGTTTATGAAGGGGAATTCAACACTTGGTTGCATAACGAGAAACATACTCTGCTTTTGAAAAACGAGCACTCTAATACCCTACTGTGTTTCCGATACAGCCAGAAGAGTATGCTTGCTCAGACCAAAACAGCAGTGCTTCCTAAACACACGGGCCATCTCTAGTTCAACTCTGCTTCAGAAAATAAGCACAACACAAACCTCTTTTCCATCCAATGTACTGTACTTGCAGTGAAGAGACTCGACTGTCACTTCCACTGTGTATCTCAATGAGAGCCCAGTAGTGACTTTCCATATGTGAAAAAAAAAATTGTTGCTCGGTGGTATAAGAGATTGAATATGATTCAACTCTGTTTATGAAGAGTAATTCAACACTGGGTTGCCTAATGAGAAACACACCCTACTTTTGAGAAAAGAGCACTCTTCTACTCTACTGTTTTTCCTATAACAGCAGGTTCCTCAGAACAAAAGAAATGTGCTTCCTACACAAACGGGCCATATCTAGTTCAACTCTGCTTAGGAAACAATGCACAACAGTAGCTTCTCTTCCATCCAATGCACTGTACTTGCTGAAAACAGACACGAATGAAATTAACACTGTGTATCCTTACCTGAAAAGAACTGTTGCCCATTTGATATCAGACTGCATGTGATTCAACTCTGTTTATGAAAGGAAATTCGACACTGTGTTGACTAAGGAAAAACATACTCTGCCTTTCATTTCTATTCTAATGTGATTCCCAGACAGCCATACCTATGAGCTTGCTCAGAACAAATGAACTGTGCTGCCTACACACACGGGTCATTACTAGTTCAACTCTGTTGTGAGTCAAAAAATGGATGACTGCGCTCTGGCCTTTCTTGCTTGGATGTTCTGACGTAACTACACCCTTGACAACTGTTACTAAGTTACAAAAAACAATAACTCCCGGAAAAAACACAAAATGTACCTTTAGATTAATATACTTTTAGAATAACTTCCTTAAACATGTTCAAGTTGGTCGGTTGCACAAGCTTTGGACCAAGGAGACCTTGCCCCGACTCTTTGTCTTCAAAGAGACCTCACCCTGACCCTATTCTTCTATTCTTCAAACTTTCATTCCCCCCTTTTTCCCTATTCACTTCTATACATCAGTGTATATAAGCCTACTTCCCCTTGCAATAAACGTGACCTTGACGCAACTCAGATTGACTCTGTCCTTTTTAGGCGCTTGGTCTCCTTTCTTTCTCGCCCCCATTGGTCTTTCAGGAGGTGCCTCCTCGAGTCACACCTAATAACCTGGCCTGCTGGATGGGTCAAAGTGGCGCCTGAATGTGGGGCTCAAGGCACGGTGACCTACTGGACAACGGATAACGGAGCTCTGGATCACAAAGCCTAGAGACACCCGGACCGCATCACTCGTGCAATGCGGGAAGTCTTGAGGTAAATATAGTCGTCTGATAACCAATGGGAAAGGGTTTATCAAAAGAGGTTCTCTTTATCAAGGAAATAAAAGGCAATCTTAGGGAGAGAGGAATAAGAGTTAAGAAAAAGGATTTGATAAAAAGATATTAATAAATTGCTCAGAGACTGGGAAAACATCCCTGTCACCCTTTTTAGTTTTTAGGGTGTGATTAGAGATATTTTAAAGAAAACAGAGGGAGACGGACATGTTTCACATTTATTAGCCCCTGCAGAGGAGTTTCTCTCAGACTTCCCCTGCCTGACGCCCGATAATGAGTCTGGAGCCGCTCCACCAAAAAATGAAAGTAAAACAAAAACGGCTGCTTCTCCCCTGACAGTGACTCTTGCTCTTGGGAGGAGAGCCCTTTTGTACAGAAGTTTAATAAATCCTCCTGCTATTGCATCAACTGGACTGGAATCTGGGTTCTTGTTGTGCCCACTTGAGACCCTAAATTTTGGGATCCAACATTGGAAGTTTCACCAAGATTGGGGTGCCCCCCGGACACCCACTCTGCCAGTTGGAGGTAAACACGAGCTCAAACTATGTTTTATGTTATTGTGTCTTTTCTTTTGTCTGGTTGATTTGGCATTTACCGTGCAGACTGTGTCTGTCCTTGTCTTCTTTGTGTTTGTCTTTTTGAAGTCTGTTTTTTGCCTCTACCTTTCTCTCTCCATATGGGCAACAACTAACTACCCCCCTAAGTTTGACTTTAGGTAACTGGAAGGATGTCCTCGCTCGGGCTTGCAATGCCTCTCTGGAAGTCAAGAAAAAGAAATGGATCACCTTCTGTTCCTCAGAATGGCCAGCCTTTGAGGTCGGCTGGCAGAGGGATAGTACTTTTAACGTTGATTGATGTGATTTCACAGGTGCCTTGGTGAAGCTGTTCCTCACAGCTTTGCTTGCCCCAGCAACACTGGGACTCCAACCCCCACCTCTTCATTCTCAAACTCCCCTTACTCCCCTTGTCCCTTCAGCCCTGGCTGCCCTCCGACCGTTTCCCCCCTTTACCCTCTTAAGGAAATCAAGCGTGAAAAACCCCCGGTCCTTGCAGAGGACCCGGGAGACTAATGATGGAATCAACCCCCTCATGCAGATCTGCCTGCTGGGGTAGAAAAAATAAAAAATTAAAAAATATCCTCCAAAATGGCTCTGGACACTGGCTAGGCATCCTGTGAGCGGTGGAGCAGAGAGGAGCTGGCAGGAGTCAGCTGGAGCCTTGAGGAGCTCAGAATGTGGGGCCTGGTGGAGAACTAACTGCCCTTCCAGGGTCACAGCTAACAGGTCTGTGGGCCCTGCCTGGGCATGGATTCTCCCATGCTGTTGGATGGGACTCCCAAGACCTGCCCCTGGAGCTAAAACCTGATCAGGATCTGGCTCCAAGAATGGAATGTCACTCCCTATGTGAGGCTAACTGACAGTTTCTTGTCTATGATTATTGAAGAAAATCACAAGAAAGACTTTAATATAAAAGGTTATAAAAGGTCAGTAAACTGTTATGGTTTCTTATACCTGCAAATACTGAATTTGAAAGTTAATTCTGGTTGGTTTTCATTTTAAAAATGGCTAATGATTCTGCAAACTGCTTATGTGTGTATATGAACAAGTATGTGATTTGGAAATGTAAGCAAGCTTTAACTGTATGTATGTATTTATGTATGTATGTATGTATGTATGTATGTATGTATGTATGTATGTATGTAACTTGGATCCAACTGTGTATATGTATGCAAGTAATTACTGCTTTTAAAAATATATTTGTAACACCTAAGTACTTATGTCTTTACCAAGTGTTCAACAACAAGTTTCTAAAAAATTTAAATAGATAACAACATGTTTAATAAATAAGATATTTGATGAATATTAAAGCTACACATCAATGCTTTTATACACAGGAAGATACCTTGCTCTGACAGCTAAACTTGTAATTTGAGATTTACCCAAGTAAAATGATAATGATTTTAAAGACATAAAAGAATAAAAAAAACAGCTGAGGTTTACAAATATATGGCAGGAATAAAGTTTCAAAAAGAGTCTGATGCAATTTGGCAGTTTTAAAAATTGCCAATGTTAGATGATGATCACCAAAAGCAGCAGCCATAATAAAATAGAGCAGACAGGCTATGTATGTGCTGCCAAAGGTAGGGTCAAAGAAATCATCCATGCCTCTGAATGAAGGAACCAAAAAGATTGTAAATAAGTCCCAGATATTAAACTTCGAGATTGTGTGTACTCTGGAGCTTGGTTTTACTTGATACAGATTATGCTCCCCCTTAAAGTAAAAAAAAGGTACTTAATTGTTATTACAGAAGACATTTGAGAGATCTTAATCCTTTAAAGACAGTTTTTATAGTTAAAAACCAATGACTTAAAAATGTTTCTCCTTACCCAAGGTACATTCAGGCTTAAGAATGTTGTCTAGCATCCTTGTATTTGCTAAGTTTGCTAAGATTAAGTTATTTGGATAAGCTGATACATATATACGTCTTATATTGATATTTTGTTTTGGCTTTTTTACTGAACCTGTATTTGATGCCAGAGGAAGTTTCAACTTAGAAGCATTGTTTTTAATAGTCAGTCATGAATAATCAAATTTCTTTTTAATTGTAGTAAGGATAAATAAGTACTGATGTAATACTACAAAGATAAGTTTGCTCCCTTTCATTATTTCATTATTCACTCCCTTTCATTATGTTTTCAGGGTTGGGCTTGAAACAAATAATTAGAAATAAAGTTTGTCTATTCAGATACCTGGACAGCCCCCATACTTCAGAGATCTGCAGAATATGGCATTTAAATGTTGATCTAAAAGTTTATTATATCAGACAGGCTTCCAGATCCTAGCAATGACCCAGGGTCTCTGAGGAAGATTACATATGAGGCACCACAACACCTCTGCCTGGATTATGACAACGCTGACCACAGGGCAGGATGCCCCAGTGCAACAACTGCCGCCAGGACCCAGCCCAGACTGTGGACAAGTGGTAGGACAATGTCAGTCTTCTGTGTCCCTATTCCACAGGGAAAATTATTCTGCCTTATGGGCTTGATGGCGGAAGAAAATTGATGCTGTTCTGACTGGTGCCTCCAATGCTATGGATACCTGGGTAGGGATTGATCCCTGTAATTTATAGGATTGGAAGCTTCTTGGTCTGCACTCAGATATAGTTTACCCTTCTCAGATCTCTGACAGTACTGATGGCTAGGCTAGCTCTAACTTTGTCAGCATGGCAACATCAGACAACCAGATCCTTCTGCAAGGCCATAGCTAGCTTGTTAGCTCACTTTTTAAAAAATGTTCTAAAATATAAAAGTTTAAATAAGTCATAATGATTCAGTTATGAGTCTAAAATAGGATATGTTTCAGATTACTCTCCTGTTCTATGGTTCAGAGCTTAACATTTAGGAGTCCTGATAAACTGGTCGAGCAATGACTACTTACTGTTCAGTCACAAGCTCAACATTTTGGATTTCTTCTAGATGTCATCTAGATATGTCTAAATGTAAACCTAAAAGTGCTTCTCACCAGGCCAAAAATCTCTGTCCAACTTATACCTGGCTTTCTGAACAAAAGAAAAATGCCCAAATCTGTAGTTCTTGTTGGGACTCAAAGGTATGAATCCACTTTTGCTGCTTTACTGATACCCATTACCTGCTTTGTCTACAATATGGATTTCAGTGCAGATTGGTAATACTAATGTATCTAAAACTTTTATGTCATTTTGTAAGTAGGCCTCAAGGATCAAAAGAGTCATAAAAACCTAGACCCACTTCACAGAGGACAAAAGGACCCCAGATAAGTATTCCAAAAGATGGTATTTTTCCTCTCTCCTGGTCTTGGGACTACTGCTTTTCCCATTACTAAGGGTATGGACCTAAGGGTTCCAAATAAGTTCATAAATTTTAACTTCTGTTCCTAGTTTAAATCTGTCTCAACAGATTTCTACTTAGCTGGCAGACACCTTCAAGTTTCAGTTGCTGACTCCACTGCTCCAGACAACTGTGGGCTCCGGATGTGCTAAAGGCTAATGTGTACCAGCCCAGCTAACATGATTCTTCTCTGTCCCTATGTGGTCAGGCAGGTACATGCTACTGACAAAAGCCCCCTGCCCAGTCTTTGACCAGCTTTTCAGCCTTTTGGGGGAGGGGCCCTGATAATGGCATCCAAATGCCAGCTCGAAGCAGTTCCAGAAGAAAATACATCGTCCCAATTCCTTATTCAAAAGAGGCTGAAATGCTGGGTCAAAAGAAAACTCCCTGGCATAGAGACAAGATGGCTAGTTATACATGGACTATGCATGGCCATTACAGGCCATGAGTTACTAAATGTAATACCATAATTTTAAGATTAAAATTTGCCAAAAAGAAAATGGGGGAATGAAAGACCCTAGCCCTTCAGGCTTACACCCCCAAGCCTCAGAAAAAGAAAAACTTCAAGCACCAGGAAATGAGAAACTAAAATTCTAGTTCCAAAGGCAACCTGACTTAGCCATTGTTCAATCTTCCCTGCAACCATATAACAATGTCAAGAGATTTCTGTTAAGAGATGTGCTCAACTGTGACTGAGATAGTTGCAGATGTTCCAGGAAGGACCACTGTGACCTTTGTGTAAACTCCACTCCTGCCCTGATACCCCCCTTGAGGTTTCAGGGAAAATGTACCTGTTGACGTAACTGTACCCCTCTGTTATCACTCTGCACCCAGACCAAACCTTAGGTTGCTGTCTTTGCCTTTCCTCCAGTCCCCCTTATAATGAAGGAATCACCTTTCAGTCTGCTGCCAGTACCTTCACTTCCCCAAGCAATAGGTGTCAAACTAGGCCACATAAGCTAACACTCCCTGAGGTCTCCGGACAAGGTTCCTGATTGGGTAGGGTCCCATCGACCCATAGCCACCTCTGTAACTAAACACTGACACCCTATAAAGGAAGCTATTATCTCGAGGCACCCAACGGGTCCTACTGGGCCTGCAACACAGGATTGACCCCTTGCATGTATGCTCAGATATTTAATGATTCCCATGAATTTTGTGTGATGGTCCAGCTATGGCCTCGTGTCATCTATCATGAAGAGAGCTCAGTGATGGAATTCTTTGAGCAGAGGGGCAGATACATTCGAGAACCTGTGTCTATGACTATAGCCCTCTTGCTAGGTATTGGGGGCATTGCTGCAGGAATTGGTACAGGAACTACTGCTCTCGTACAAAGCAACCACGTTATGCAGTTACAAATGGCTATGACTACTGACCAAGAGGCCATAGAGAGATCCATTTCTGCTCTTGAGAAATCTTTAACCTCGCTCTCAGAGGTTGTGTTTCAAAACAGAAGCGGTCTGGATTTGCTGTTTTTAAAGGAGGGAGGCTTGTGCACAGCCTTAAAGGAGGAATGCTGCTTTTACACAGATCACACTGGGATAGTCAGAGAATCAATGGATAAACTAAGAGAAAGATTGGCACAAAGAAAACGTGATTTTGAGAATCAAAACAATTGGTTTGAGGGCTGGCTAAAAGAATCCCCTTGACTTTCTACCCTGATCCCCACCCTCCTGGTCCCCCTGATTATTTTCCTTCTCCTCCTCACCTTTGGTCCTTGGGCTTTTCAACAGATAACACAATTCATCAAAAATCAGATTGATTCGGCTCTATCAAAAACTGTCTCAGTACATTACCATCATTTAGAAACTCGAGATCAAACTATCGAAACAAGTGAATGGCTCAGGTTCAGCATCTAACGCCCCTAAAACCCCCTTGCAACTAAAGGCTATAGGGTACTCAATGATGGGATTAGTATGGAGCCTGTGCTGGGAGCACAACGTACAGAGGTCGTTGAGACCGGCTCAACATTGCACGTTGCCAGACACAGGATGCACTCCATATAGCCTAAGACAGGGGCCCTCTTGAGTTATGACCAAATCCCACTTTGGTCATTTTAAAGACAGAAGGGGCAATTGTTGAGAGCCAAAAAATGGATGACTGCACTCTGGCCTTTCTTGCTTGGATAATCTGATGTAACTATACCCTTGACAACCGTTACAAAAAAAAAATAGCTCCCAGAAAAACCACAAAATGTACCTTTAGATTAATATACTTTTAGAATAATTTCCTTAAACATGTTCAAGTTGGTGGGTTGCACAAGCTTTGGACCAAGGAGACCTTGTCCCAACTCTTTGTCTTCAAAGAGAACTCGCCCGGACCCTATTCTTCTATTCTTTGAACTTTCTTCCCCCCCCCCTTTTCCCTATTCACTTCTCCTATACATCAGTGTATATAAGCCTACTTCCCCTTGCAATAAACGTGACCTTGATGCAACTCAGACTGACTCTGTCCTTTTTATGTGCTTGGTCTACTTTCTCTCTCGCCCCCATTGGTCTTTCAGGAGGTGCCTCCTCGAGTCACACCTAATAACCTGGCCTGGTGGATGGGTCACAACTCTGTTTTGGAAACTGAGCACAACAGTAGATACTTTCCATCCAATGCAAAGTACTTGCAGGGAACACACGAGTGCCATTTCCACTGTTTATCTCGTTGGGAGCCCAATAGTGACTCTCCTTGCCTGAAAAAAATGTGTTGCTTGAGGATTAAGAGACTGCACGTGATTCAACTCCGTTTATATAGTTGTATTCAACACTAGATTCCATATTGAGAAACAGACTCTGCTTTTGAGAAAAGAGCACTCTTCTACTCTACTGTTTTTCCTATAGAGCCAGAATAGTGATCTTGCTCAGAGAAAAGAACTGTGCTTTTTACACACAAGGGCCATATCTAGTTCAACTCTGCATAGGAAAATGAGCACAACAATAGCTTCTTCCCATCCAATGCACTGTACTTACTGAAAACAGATGTGAGTGCCTTCACACTGTGTATCTCAATGAGAGCCCAATGGTGACTCTCCTTATCCAAAGGGAGTGTTGCTCATAGGATAAGGGACTAGATGTGATTCAACTCCATTTATGTAGGGGATTCAACACTGGGTTCCCAAATGAGAAACACACTCTGATTTGAGAAAAGAGCACACTCCTTCTCTACTGTTTCCAATACAGCCAGAACAGTGAGCTTGCTCTAACCAAAAGAACTGTGCTTCCTACTCACACGAGCAATACCTAGGTCAACTCTGCTTTGGAAACTGAGCACAACAGTAGCTTCTCTTCCATCCAATAACTGTACTTCCTGTGAACAGACGCAAGTGCCATTTCTACTGTTTAACTCAATGGGAGACGAAAGTGAATTTCCTTACACGAAAAGAACTGTTGCTCATAGGATAAGGGACTGCATGTGATTCAACTCGGTTTATGAAGGGGAATTCAACACTGGGTTACCTAATGACAAAAAAACTCTGCTGTTGAGAAAAGAGCACTCTTCTACTCTACTCTATTTCCTATACATCCAGAACAGTAGGCATGCTCAGGCCAATAGAACTGTGATTCCTACACACACGGTCCATCTCTAGTTCTACTCTGCTTAGAAACTGACTAGAACAGTAGCTTCTCTTGGTCCAATACACTGTTCTTGATGGGAACTGACTTGAGTGCAATTTCCAATGTGTATCTAAATGGGAGCCCTATAGTTACTTTGTTACCCAAAAAGTACTGTTGCTCCTAATTAAGAGACTGCATGGGATTCACTCTGTTTATGTATGGGAATTCAAGACATGGTAGCCTAATGAGAAACACACTCTGTTTTTGAGAAAAGAGCACTCTTCTATGACCCGTCCAGCAGGCCAGGTTATTCGAGGGTCTCGAGGAGGGACCACCTGTGAATCAATGGGGGGCGAGAGGGAAAGGAGACCAAGCGCATGAAGAAAGACAAAGCAGTCTGAGTTGCGTCAAGGCCTCTTTTATTGACTGTGTGTTAGAGCTTATAAACAGGGCTTCAGGTAGGGAGGGGGAGCAGGAGT